AGGTGTAATTAATGATTATTTGTCAAGTCTTGGTACTCTCTGAATTCTTACTAGAAATTAAGATAGTAAATGAACACCTCTAATGATTGGGCAACAAATTCTTTTGTAAGTCAAATGGTTTCCAGTTCTTTACTTCTACCAGTTTAGAGGAGTTGTCAACTAGCAGATCATTAAAAATAGTAATTAATGATAGATCACTATATGATTATATAACTCCGAATGTGTTCAAATGGTGGGGCAGCTTGGCTATGTAAACTCCCATTCCTCTCTATGAATTTATGGAAACAAGATTTTTCAGGGTTTACATATGAAATTATAGCATTAAGTCAATATCCAATCACTGATATGTGAATGAATTAGGCTACAAAGGATATGAAGACTCATTAAGAGATATTTACAATAAAATTAAAAATATTATGGCCTGTAATTATTTATCAAAATTTATCATATATGTTGTTTTGACAAATTGTATTGATAATAATTGTAACAGTAACTCAACCAAAATGAGATTAAGTCTAATCAAGACTTAGAGTCACAGAAAATAAAATTTCAAATTTCAATTACACATATGATCAATAAAACCTTTTGAAACTAATGTATTACCTTAAGATAAAATTCTGAGGAGGAATTGGAATGGGAATATAAATTTAGGGGTGAAAAGAAAAGATGCAAATTTTCAAATGTTAAAGATTATTCATGTATTTTTACATGGATGATGATATCAAGTTGTTTTGTTATTTATATTCTATTGAATACATCTAAAAGAGTGATGTAATGGTTTTATTTTATATCAATATTTACAGTCTGCTGGAAATTACATCCTTTCCAACTTTGTTCTTTGAATTTGAAATGATGAAAAATTTCACTTGTCAAATTAAAATGGTGCAAAAGATTATATATTTAAGAAAATTCTTTTAGAGCTAAATGAGAAAAAAAAGCCACATAGGACACACAGGCACTCTAGTTCTATAATCATGATGGCCATTGTCCCTGACTCTCGCTAGAGAATTGCTTAGGCCTTAAGACCCCTCTCGTCTAGGGAGGGTTTCCTTACAATGTTCCTAAAGTCTGGGCCCCTTATGGGCTCAGTGAGGACCAGTCCCTCTGCCACATGCTTCTTGGAACCATCTTTCCAAATCTTTTGAATATTTTAGCCTTGAGTAGCATTTCTTTCTGCAATATCCTTTTTTGCAGTAATGAACTATGCCTCCAGGGCTCTCTTTCCTTCTGTTAATCCCCTACTTCTTTCAGGGAGACTCAGCTGAATTTCTAAAAGTTTACCCTGCTTTTCATGTGAGTCTCTTGTTTTGACCTAACTCAGAGAATAAGCCCTATTTTGCTGGGTCTGAGCAGCTTTCCCATGTTGATTTCTTTTCCCTTTCTGGCACATTTACTTGCCTTTCAAATAACTCTTAAATTTTGGGATTTCCCTTGTTGAGAGAAGTGAAATTAAGGTCTGCATCTGTCCAAAACCTCCAGTTCTTAGAGAACAGTTGTCCCCCTAAATTGATATTGCAACTCAGGAGATATTTTCCCATCAGATCAATAGCTAATCCAAGCCTGGATTGAGTTATTATTTTGTCTATCTGCTCTTTAGTATGTGCAGTCTTTCTGTGCCTTTCCTCAGAGTCCTAACTCTGAATTTCCCCTATATGTTGTCTTAGGACACAGGCGATACTATATCCTCAAAATAAAATATTCAAAACCTTACACCTGAAAATTTATCTAGTAATCCTTTGAATGTTTCATGCTGATCTCTGTAGTATTTTCCTGTGTTTCAGAACTCTACTACCATATGACAACAACCCTAGCAATAATCTCATAATTTTAAGGGTCAACAGTTTGGGCAGGGCTTGGCTGAGTGATTCTTCTCTTCCACAAGGCATCAAAGGAGTCACGTGGTGGTATTCCGCTGGCAGATGGTTTGGAAAGTCTTAGAAAGCTTTACCACATGTACAGTGCACTGGGGTAGATGACTGGAGAGCAGAGCTCAGCTGAGAGTATTGATCAGGGATCCTATACACCATTTCTCCCAGCAGGACAGAGCAGTTAGAATGTGGGTACTTCCTTAACTCTTTTTATCCCTTTTTCCTGGTCTTCAAGATGTAATTTTTTTGTTTCATTTCTGCCTTAAAAAAATTCTGTCATTCAGCCTCATCTGTCTATCTTCCTTTGTTTCCATTCCTTCACCTTCTTTTCATGAGATAGAAGTAAGCATGCTTTTGACAATTCTACAATTCCTCCTTGGTTTCCTAAAAAAAAAAACAAAACCTCGATTTTAGAGACTGTGTTCGTTTGAAGCTGACACCAGGTTAGGACTGGATAAGAAATGCCTGTGAAGGACAAAGGGGAGGAAGCAGGAACACGCCTGGAAAACTGTGTTGCAGGTCTGACAGCTGAAAGAAAAGGGGGAAGGAAGAGACTCAGAATTTTCAAGCCCATTAGAGGAGTCCCATGTCCTGCGGTCTGGGCCTGCAGAAGTGTCCCTGTGTGCTCAGTCACGGCTGAGAGAAGCTCGGGGAAGGACGGCCCCTGCAAGAACACAGTGGTGGATCAGAGAGGCAACAGTTGGGACTCTCAGTCAACTCTGCCCCTGCAGCAAGAGCTCTGGCTACCGCAGGGCAGAGCATTGCAGGTACTAACGCTCCCCAGTTTGGTGAGAGCTGCTAATGAGAATGAATATTCTCCTTGATTAGAGATTTCCATCTCCAGTAGTCCAGGTGGGGTCCCACCAGTGCTGAATGAGACAGAGTCACTGACCTTGGAAAAGAGGAAGTCAGATTCACAAGGGTTAAGGTCCAACTCCACCATTCACCGCATCTGTGACCTTGGTCAGATGTCTGTATCTCAGTCTTCTTAACTGTGAAGTGGGGGCTGGACAAGACTGCTGAGGACCCTTCCAGAAACTCTGATTTATTCTGATACTTAAGGCCTTGACAAATTCAGTGGAGCCCTTGATATCATGTCTTTCCAAATTTATCCTTGTGAAAAGGATGCTTACAACTTTTCATTGTCAGAGAGCTGATTCACTGAGACATGTCTGAGGCATAATTATGGTACATGCGCATATAGACATTAGCAAGAAATTATTCTGAGACGTAAATGGTCTAATATTAGCAGATGATTGTCAAAGACATTGGGTTTGAATTGTTTAATGTCATGCTAATTTGCTTCAAGTGCAAACACTAATCAGGAACATTAGGTAATTATCATTTAGGTATAGGACCCCAATATAGGAAATCTGCATTTTCATGTGAGCATTAATATCACTTATGTAAGTGCTTACAGTAATGATGGGGAAGGATTCTAAGAAGCACATTCATTACAGAGACTTGTAGTGACAAATCTTGGTTATTATTAATTTTACCTTTTGTTGAATATCTTATAAGAGGCACCTATCAAGTCTTAGGGAATAATTTTGTATTTAATGTAGTTTGATTAAATACGCACTTAAGCTTAGACTGCTATATGTAGAGGATTAGCATATTGCATATGTGAGGACTGAGTTTGAATAAAGAAGAAAAAAGGGTAACCCATTTTCTTTGAGCCTAGAACCCTCTTAATTTTAATCATTTTACAAATGGAGAAACTGAGGTCTAGGAGGTTTATCTCAATTGCCCAAGACCACAAAATAAGAACTTCTAAAAATTTTATTTTGCTTCCATACACCAGGTATCTTTAGAAGTCCTTTACAGAGATTGGCTACCTCAAGAGATGGGTGCCATCACTGTAAGAGATAGACATTGTTATTTCTACCATTGTACAGATGAGAAAACTGAGGCAGAGAAAGGACTCAGTTATCTGCTCTAGGCCATGGACAGAAGTGACAGAGCAGGATTGCAACAGAGGCAGTTTGGCTCTGGGGTCCATGCTTTTAACCGTAGACACACTTTCTCATCAACATATAGTGTTAAAAAAGGCAAGCTGGCCCTGGAACTCAGAGCTCATTTCCTTTTCAGTGTCTTTTCCATAACTCCAGGGTTAGTTAAAACCAAATCCATTTTAATATTTTAAAATAACATGGCAACTGGAACTGCACAAGTGGCTGCTCAGCACACCCAGCTCTGGAGGTCTCTTTTGCATGAGGCCCCCAAAGACAACTCTCCCCACCCTGTCTACACACCTCCCAGGAGAAACTTACACAACTAGCATTAATTAGCAGGTAGGAATCATTTACAATCAATGAATCACATGCTTCAAAGCAAACGGTTGATTATGAAGTGGTTTTAAGAGACGTAAGAAGCTTTTTCCCAGAAATAAGCTAAACTCTTCTAGGAATAATCTTCATATATTATTTGTGGATGAATTTTCCATTTGCTTTCTTCCTGGGCCTCCCTGGGTCCTATGTTCAGTCATTCGCAGCCCTCTCACCACTTGTCTTAGACCCCTCAGCTTTGATCATGGTGGCGTTCCTTGCTAGTTGCCCACTCTTGGATGGGACTCCTAGCTGTTTTGGTCTAGCTATCCATTCAGTGCAAATGTCCTGTGGCAGTAAGCTGCTGTGGAGTGCTTCTCTCAGTTCAGCCCTGAACCCATCACCTGGCCGGTGTTTGCCATTGGCTACCAGCTGCATCCAAGATAGGCAGATTCCTTGGTCATTGCTCTGGCAACTCATTGGTCTTCAACTTGATGGTTTGTTTATTTACCTGATGGTTTCTGTTCTCATTAAGAGCCAGTAGAACAACAAAATGGTACTTGCTGAGACCCTCAATGTTGAGAGCTGGCTTTCTGATCAGCTGGAGCAGGGCACATCTGTTGTCCATGCCTCAGGGGTTTGGAATTATCCCATATTTGCAAAATATAGTTCAGACCTCATGTTGATTCATGTCTTCCCCCCCAAAACTAGAGCCTCATTCCCCTGATAGCAGGGCAGTGGGGCAGTGGATGGGACAGGATTATGGATTCTGGGGGTTCTTAAGAGCCTGGACCACTGGTATTCTGTTAAGGGAGACGATCAGAGGGTGGATGGGGTGAGTAACCATCAGACTTTCTTTACTTAGGCACTGGTAAGAAAAATTGATGCCTCGGACAATATTTATACTACAGAATCCACTACAGGGAACCTGTTCAGCCTGACTCAGGAGGGGGCTCCGTTATGCCGCATCATAGCCAAGGTGAGCTTCATGGTTACAGGCCACACCGACAGGCCCCGGGACAGCATGAGGAGGTAGCCTGGGGGGAACAGCTGGCTCTTAAAGCCTGTCCTAGCTCTAGCATTTGCTTGTTGTGTGACCTTAGAGGAGTCACCGCTACTCTTTGGGCCTTGGTGTCTCCATCTTACAGGTGCCCAGCCCCTCTGATGTCATTTCCCACTTGATAAAAAGAAAGCCAGTGTCCCTAGAGCCTTTGTCATATTTCTTCATGTGGTGTCTGTTACAAATACCAACTTTCCTTCCTTATCTCCACATATCCCACGAAACTCAACCAAATACATATCCCAATTCAGGTTCTTAGCTGGATCCCAGAAATGCCTGCAGCCATTACGAGAGCGCAGGAAGAGAAGACAAAGTAGAGAAGGACCGTGGTTTGCAATTACAGTGGGAAACTGATTGCAAATTGCTTCTGGGCCAGTTTTCCCCTGCACTGTGGCCAAACTCTTAGGGCAAATATAGGCAATTGATAGCCCTAAGATCTCAGCAAGGTCTTCTGTTTCATTTTTACTTTTTCTTTTAATTCAAGAAATGTCATTTCTATTCTATTAGGAATAGAACCAGTAATCTAATTGGAAGCAAAGTTAGGTCCTTCGATAGATTTAAGGTGCCAGTCACAGGAAGATATGCTCCAGCTTGGTGGCTGCCAGGCCTGGCTGCACCACCATCCCTCAGGGAGATTTTGGAAAACACAGATACTTTTGCCTCAAGATTTACTAGGGTCCTACAGTAAGACCCGGAAATCTACATTTTAACAAGCTCAACAGGTGATTCTGAGACCTGACCCCTCTCACTGAACTAAGCTCTTAAATCTAGAAGATCAGGTTTAATGCTTTTCAACTCTGGTCTGGAGAGAAGTAAACTATGTCTAACAGCAATAGCTAATGTTTGAGTATTGCTGTCCAGTATGCTTAATGCCTTGCAGACATCATTTCTTTCAAATTACAAAACTTTCCTAAGAAGAAGGTACCAGGTTTGTTTCCATGTATAGTTGAGGAGATGGCTTAAGGGGCTTACTCAGGGCCACACAACTGATAGAGTCAGAATCAGAATTAAAGTTCCTTTGATTCAGAGCTCATGAGTTTAAAGCCCACAGTGGGGATTTCTGGTTCAGTCCTTGGCCCTTTGGGTTCTTGGGCCAAAGTGTGGCTCAGAAGTTCTCAACTCTGTACGTGTATTAGAATCACGAGGGAGCTTTAAAAATCACATAGCTAGTAAGTAGCTGAGCTGGAAGGTGAACCTGCCTGTTTGGCAGCAAAGGCTATGCTTTTGCTTACTATTCTGAACTGCCTCTGAGCAGCCCCTCTTCCTCCACTTCCTCCTGCCTTTCCCCTCCTTCCCATCCTCTTCCTCCTCCTTTCCACAACCTTCATTATTTACCGTGTCCTTTCTATATGTCAGGTACTGTGCTAAGTTTTCCATTCATCACCTCATCTGGTCCTCTCAGTAATCTTAAGATATGTTGCAGTTATAATTCCCATTGTATAGATAAAGGAACAGAGAAAAGGTAAGTAATTTGTTTGAGGTTGTATACCTTAAGTGCAGAGCTGGGATTTTAACCAAATCTGTTGACTCCAGAATCTTAATCTCAACCTTCTTATGTCTTCAGCCCTTGGGAAAGAGTGGATAAACCCAGTTCTCCCTATGATGGTGGTAGTAAACCCCATCCCTGAGTGCAGAGCACAGAAAACTCCCCTGTGCTTTGTCAAAATCACCCCCATCCCAGCAACTCTATTACTCCCCTGCCTGCTAGTCTACATCCCACAAGTGGCCTCCTCCAGCTTTATGACAGCTCATCCCAAGGCTGTCTGAATAATGCATACCATTATACAGCTGGGCTCCGAGCCCAGAGCTTTCTATAAAATTAAACAAGCTCCAGCCAACAGTGTGAATTGCTAGTACAGGCGATTCCTGGCTCTCCCCTAAGATGAGTGCCACTCTTGGGTCCTCAGTGGGGGCTTCAGGGTGGTCCATGAAACGCATTCATCTCCCTTCCTCTGTGGTCTTCTTCCTTCTGTCCCTTCCACCTATTCCAGCCCTTGGGACACCTTCATGAGGGTATGAGACTTTCTTCTAACCAGGAAGCCTTCATGGCCTGACCCTTGCTGGGCTCCCCAGAACTGGATACTAGGGCCTTTCATTAACTCAACTGCTCTCCCAATAGCTTGATCTTGTAGTTGTCATAACCTACAAAAAGTTAATAAGTTAACTTTACCAAAGTTAACCAGCAGCACAGTCAGGGTTTAAGGCAGAATCCCCTTAGTCTGGGTTCAGGATTTCCCCATTTCCAACCCCAATAGCTAAAAATGCTAAGAAGACTATTTTCCACAGACTTGGGAAAGAATGCAGTGAGAACCCAATGCAAATGGATAGAGGCTTAAATATAGTTTTGCTGGGCTCAGTGTCTCCTGAGCCAAAGGAAGGCTGCCACATTGATCTGGGCTCTCAGCCTTGCATTCTTTTTTTAAATTTTTAAATTAAAAAATTTTTAATTTTAATTTTTTTTGTTATCATTAATATACACTTACATGAACAACATTGTGATTACTAGATTCCCCCCATTATCAAGTCCCCACCACATACCCCATTACAGTCACTGTCCATCAGTATAGTAAGATGCTGCAGAATCACTACTTGTCTTCTCTATGTTGTACTGTTTTCCCTGTGCCCTCCCCAGTACCTTATGTGTGCTCATTGTAGTGCCCCATTTCCCCCTTCTCCCTCCCTTCCCATCCATCCTCCCCAGTCCCTTTCTCTTTGGTAACTGTTAGTCCATTCTTGGATTCTGTGAGTCTGCTGCTGTTTTGTTCCTTCAGTTTTTTCTTTGTTCTTATACTCCACAGATGAGTGAAATCATTTGATACTTGTCTTTCTCTGCCTGGCTTATTTCACTGAGCATAATACCCTCTAGCTCCATCCATGTTGTTGCAAATGGTAGGTTTGTTTTCTTCCTATGGCTGAGTAATATTCTATTGTGTATATGTACCGTCTCTTCTTTATCCATTCACCTATTGATGGACACTTAGCTTGCTTCCACATCTTGGCTATTGTAGATAGTGCTGCAATAAACATAGGGGTGCGTATGTCTTTTTGAATATGAGATCTTGTATCCTTTGGGTAAATTCCAAGGAGTGGAATTCCTGGGTCAAATGGTATTTCTATTTTTAGTTTTTTGAGGAACCTCCATATTGCCTTACACAATGGTTGAATTAATTTACATTCCCACCAGCAGTGTAGGAGAGTTCCTCTTTCTCCTCATCCTCACCAGCATTTGTTGTTCCTTATCTTTTAGATGTTGGCCATCCTTACTGGTGTGAGGTGATATCTCATTGTGGTTTTAATTTGCATTTCTGTGATGATTTGGGGCATCTTTTCATGTGCCTGTTGGCCATCTGAATTTCTTCTTTGGAGAGTATCTGTTCAGATCCTCTGCCCATTTTTTAACTGAGTTATTTGCTTTTTGTTTGTTGAGGTGCATGAAGTGGTCTCTGGTGATTAACTTTTGTCCTTTCTGGTAGAGAGGGGAGGAGGGACATCTCTATAAATTAATGTCCTGCTTTTAGTCAAATAGGGGGAGGGCAGAGATCTTTTCTTGTAACTGCTTCTTCTCAATTGCTTTCAGCTCAAAATAATCCTAATGACAAAGGGGCATATTTTGGGGTGGCATATTCTCCCACCATAAAGACCTAAAGCATATCTGCTGAATGAGGTATTGTCAGCTATTCTCGAGTCAGCCCTAGGAAGGGTCACACAGTGAAAGCATGTGACATTTTCTTTTTTTTGGCAGGAGGGTGGAGTTGTAGCACTTTTCAAGGTCTGCCGGCAGGACAGTTTTCGGTGCTTATACCCCCAGGCACTCCGCACACTGGCCTCCATCTGCTGCGTGGAAGAGGGTGTCCACCAGCTGGAAAAGGTAAGAGTGCAGCTGGCTGGCTGGGCGTGGCCTAAGGTCCCTGGGCCAGGTGGGTGGTGAGCGGGACAGACATGCTGGTGGCCATCTGGGCCTCTTCATGGAGCAGTTCCCCTGAGACCCCCCTTTTCCTGGCATCATTCGGATAGGGCTGCTGGGACTTGACTGTGGGAGTTGATGCAGACCTAAAGGGGACAGGCACTGAGGAGCTCGGCCAGGGAGGCACTCAGCACTTCCTGGGCACAGTGGCCAACAGAGGTCAGTGGGTGGAACACACATAGGCAAGCCTGGTGGGGAGTGGGTTGAGGTTCAGAGTGGTCAGTCCTTTTTATGGCAGGATCAGCAGAAGGAAGAGGATCCAGCTCTGTAGAACAGATTGGGCAAGAGCAGGGTGGGCCCTGAGTGTCTGGGCAAGCAGGTGGGCTTCACTGAGCCTAGAGGGCTTGGGTACAGGCAACCGAGGCCTAAGGCCAAGTGAATGCTGGGTCAGCAATGGCATGGGGGTGGGAGGGGTGAGAGGGAAGGTGGGGATCATATGGGCTCAGGTGACTCAGCTCCAGGCCAACGTACAGCAATGTGACCAGTTCCAGCTACCACCTCCCCTCTCCCCAGGTTGTAGGGTGAGGCTGTTCCTCCACTGGACTGGAATGGGTCTGGGCCTGCAGATGGGCCCTGAGGGACATTAGCCAGGACAGCTGGGGAGGCTGGGGCTGACATCTGGGAGGTTCTCAGCCAAGTTTTAAGATGCTGAAGATTTGCATGGAAGAGAGGTAGATAGTCTTGGTATGTCCTGGTGACAACTGTGCTTCTTGCCTTGAGTCTCTTCCTGTGCCTGGCCAAAAGGGGGTGGCCAGCAAACTGCTCCCCTTCTTCTGCATCTGTGCACTTTGGCCTGAACTCCTAGCAGGTGGTTACCTTACTTTCTACCCTGCCTCTTTCCAAAGCTACTCAGGTGATAGAACATGGGCACAGGCTCATGCATCGGACATGCTCTTAGCTGCAGATGGAGGGTGAACAGGGAAACTGCTCATTTTACAGATGAGAAGGTTGTGGGTCAGAATGGAGAAGTAATTTGTCTGAGGTCACACAGCAGGGTGGTGAAGGAGTTAGTGCCAGCCCTCTGGACAGAGTGCCCACTTCCCGTGGAGTCAGAAACCTTTGTATGTGTGTGCTCACTTAGATGACAAAATGGAGGAGGGGGCGGTAGGGCAATAGATTCTATGAAGCACATGCATAGAGTGTCTCCACCTTCATGTACAGAATAGTCCTCTCTTCTCCCATAAAATTTTTCCACCTTGGACAGTGGCCAGTGCTGGGTTTGTTTCTTGCCTTCTTTCATGCTGGTTGGCAGGAAGAATGGGGGGGAGAAAATAGAAGGGACTGGAATTACTAGTGCTCCAAAAGCAGTGGATTTCTTGGCTGTAGAGAGCCTGCAGAGCAGCAGGAAAATGTCAATCCAGGAAAAAAAAAAAACCAGCAGGGCTTTTTGTTTAGAGCTGGAAGCCAGTACAGCTGGGTAGTATGGAGGCAATTTTTTCTTCCACCTTCCTGATGCTGCTCCAGAACCAGAAGGCACAAGTGCATTTTCCCAAGCCCAATGGGCCACCCCAGCTTGGGAGTCCGACCCTGCCCCACCGAGCAAGAGGACCAAGGGAACACTTACATTCGAGGGCTTACTAAGCACCCGGGGCTGAGCTAGCCTCTTACACACATCCTTTCATGAACTCACCAGAACCTTGTAAGGTGAGCCTATTCAGATCTCCATCTTAAAGTCAAGGAAACTGAGTCTCAGCCAGTATAAGTGATTTTTCTAAAACCATAGAGCAAATTTTGGAGCCAGAATTCAGACCCTGGGTTCCTGAATCTAACATCCCATTTACCTCAGTGCCTCACTGGCTTAATAGATACTTCTCAGAGAGCCAAAACAGTCCCTGCAGACCACCTTGCTGCTCCTGGCCAATGTCTTAATCCCCCGCAACCGGCACAGAAGAGGGTAGCTCAAACTGGACATTTCCCTCCTACAGGTCAGATTACTTTCAACACAATCCTGAAGCACCTCTGTGCCCAGGCACTGGGCGAGACTGGCCTGGAGAGCCCCCTGGTGGTCAGAAACAGCAACTACGTGGTGCAGCAGCTACAGAGCTTGCCAAGTGGCTCCACGTACATTTCATTAGATGCTCACCTCAAATATATAAGCATCCCCATTGTACAGATGAAACAAACAAGACCCAAAAAGGTGAAATGACTTATTGTGCAGAATCACACAGCTTTTAATTCATTCATTCAGCAAGTGCTTATTGACAATCTGCTGTTTGCCAGGAACTATTTTAGGTCCTGGGAGTGTAGCAGTGAACAGAACAAACCCCTTTGTCCTCAAGGAGCTTACATTCTAGTGCAGGGGGTGCCCAGTTATGGCCCGTGGGCTGCGTTCAGCCTGCTGCCTTTTTTGGCAAGACCATGAGCTAAGAATTTTTTTAAATGGTTAAAAAAATCAGAATACATTTTGTCACATGAAAATTGTGAAATTCAAATTTTCAGTTCATAAAGTTTTAATGGTACACTGCCATGATCATTTGCTTAGGTGTTGTCTCTGTCTGCTAATGCACTGCAATGGCAGAATTAACTGCAGGAGACCAGACAGACCACAAAGTCAAAAATACTCACTATCTGGCCCTCTACAGAAATGTTTACTGACTCCTAACAGGTAGTAAGGACATCATGACAATGATGAAAAGGACACTAACATATATTGAATACTTCTTTGGGCAAGCATTTTGCTAAGCCCCTCCTTTCATCATGTCATTTAATTGCTAACCACTGGGGCTGTGATTATTCTCATTGTTTAGAGAAGGAAGGGAGACTCACAGAAGTGAAGCAACTTGCTCAAGGGCACACAGCTAATAAATGGCCTACAGTAATTTAATTCCAGCTTTGCTGAGCCAGGCCTGGTCTGTGAACCATTATGTGGACCTAGAACTCAAGTCTGATATTGTGAGGTGAAAATCTATACTGTTTTCCTCTGTATCACACACTTCTAAAGTTGTGAGAAGTTGTACACCCAGGAAGAGCCTGGGTCTCTCCACTCTCCACCATGCCCCCTCCTGTAGGTCCTGCCCACACCTGCTGCCCTCTGTGATCCAGGCTGCTGAGCACTGGCCTCTAAGGCCCCAGTGATGTCAGCTGTTGTTGATGTTTAGGGTGGAGGGTGAGAAGCCCAGAGACAGGCTGGATTGCAGAAACCACAGCATGGCAGGTGAGGTAAAGACAGGATGGGGAAGCACAGTACCCAGGGGCTCTTGTTAGCTGCCCACTCACCCACAGTTTGTGACCCAATTAGATAATGTCAAAGTCCCAGCTTTCCTTCAGTTTACTGGCCTGGCCTCTTTGCTGGGACCTGCTTAATTAATTGCCAGTGAGAAATATGCTGGATTTGGTAAAATTCGTCTTTGTCATGTGGCTCCCCCCAGTTCCCTCCAACCTTGAGAAGGTTCATTAAAGCACACACCCCAGAGGTGGAGGTGTGGTTCTAGTCAAGTCTCCAGACGCCCCATCCAACCCCAGCCATGCTGCATGATGCCAGAGCTTTCAGGTTTGGGGTGTTCACATGGTCATAGATTCAGTTATGGACTCACTCACTCACTCATTAAAGTACTCGATCGTCTGCTTTTTTGCTCCTCTATCATCTAGCCATTCACTTCTTCACTCATTCACTCAGTCCATCACCCTCTAATCATGCTGCTAATTCATTCTTTCATCACACATGTGCTGTGAAGCAGCCCAGCTCAGTGAGAAAACCATGGCCTTTGAGAGTCTGGCTCTTCTGGGCTGGAACCCAGGCTTTTCTGCCTGTGAGTTTGGATGCCTTTCCTTGGGGAGTTTGCTTAACACTCCAGGGAGGTGGTTGCTGCAGCAGTCAAAGGGGCGGGGTGAAATCCACCTCCAGGACTTTCAGGGAAGGAGAGCTGTGCAGTGGGGTGCTGCTTGCTACACACTAGGCACCAAATGAACAGCCATTACTACAATTGTAGCAGGTGTTGCACTGCTCAGTGTTTGAAAATCAGTGGCTTCAGGCGGATACTGTCTGGTGGCGAAAGGAGCGCTAACATGCAGGAGGGGGGCCAGCATGGTCAAAGACACTGCCCAGCGCACAGTGTGGAGAGGCTGGGTGAGGCAGCAGCATGAGTCCTCACAAACTTTCCATTTTACAGGTTAGTCTCAGGAAGTCTGTCCTACCTTCCTGTGGCCTTGGCAGTTGCCCCTCATGCCCCAGTCTCTGTGCTAGGCTGTGGGGAGGGGAACCAGCAGCTGTGTTCCCTGCCGCCCACCCAGGAAGGCTGAGTAGGGACAAACCCTGCAGTTCAGACAGTGGGGAGGGCTCTCCGTGGCCATCAGAGGCCACAGGCTGCTGGTACTCCCTCTGCTGGGTGGGGGGGCTGGTGAAGGCAGCAGCAGGGACAGTTGTGCTGGGCCCGGAGGACCATGGAGGCATTTACTGGCTCCACAGCTGGCCAGTTGGCAGCGGGGCTATACATCTTCTGTGAGCTCTGTGTTCAGTGAACTGCGGGAGCCCAGAAGAGGTAGTGTTCTCTGGACTCCTCCCTTAGAGAAGACTGGTTAAAGAAAACAAGGGCCCAGGAGCGAGTGAGGGCCCCAGGGCCACATAGCCCAATGAGAGCACATGGGCCCAATTCAGGTGCCCCACCTGCCCAGACTGGTCAGGGCAGACTTCCTGGAGGACTACACGGGGAAGGTCGGCTGGCATTACCAAGGGGGAGGGCTGCAGGATTTAGAGAGGCTGAAAGCAGGGCAGGGAGAAGGTCACTTCTCTCTGAAGCTTGGTTTCCTCTTTATAGAATGGACACATGGCCCTGCTGTGATGGTGCAATACACCAGTGCGGGTAGAGCCCGCAGGTGGCGCCTGCGTGCAGGAGGCACTAGCTTGTGCCTGCTCTCCCACTCTCTGCCCATTTGTCTCCACCTGCTCAGGCTGGCCTGAGGGAACC